GCTACTCGGTTGCAGTCGCAGAGGTGGACCAGCCGGGGGCGTTTCCCATTCGCTGTAGCATAAGGGGCACGCGCGGTAATACGCCTATCGGACCCATACGCGAATCGCCATCTTGGGGGGTTGAAGTCCCAAGCGCGGCTCGTCGTCGGTCGACTAGGACACATCCCACACACCACGCGCACACCACTCTACAATCACATACAAAAAAAAAGAGCACACACACACACACACGAAACGACACAACAGAAACAACACGACGACGCTCCTAGCCCCTTAGCAACCGTCCCATAACTCTCCGACGCGGAAATCGGATAAGCGTCACGCGCGTGACTTAGTATAAAATCGCGCGGGCGTAGGGCCAAGCTCACATTCACTCGCGATGCAAGCGTACGCAAGCACTCACAATGACGCCCATACTCGCGTGGCCATCGTTAATCTCGAGGGTCGCGTTCGACACTCAAGTGTCGGCTGACAAGCGCCTCGAGGGGTAAACTCTCGATGCTGGACAACCGCCATGCGCGGTTAAAGATCACACCCTCTTTTGCACCCTGCGCAGAGGGGTTGAGTACACAGCTTTAAGTTGTCGTGGCGGTTAAACATCAAGGGGTTTGACTTTGACGGCCGCCACGGACTATAACGTCCAACCATGAAAACGCAAAAAGAAAACTCACTCCAATCCGCATTGGTTGATGGCCCTAAAAAATGGAAGGGGGTGGGCAAGCCCAAACGACGCGCGTGCGGAGGAGGCCCGACATCCTACCCATTGGCTACCCGACGTCCGGGATAATGAGGCCCGCACACGGACTCCTATAGGCCGATCCGGACTAGCCTTCCCCCTGCCCACGTGCCACTTCGCATTGCAAAAATCCCAAGTTCATTGGTCGTGTCGCGCTCGTGGTCTCGCCACCTGACCCATAACTCTTTTAGTGCGGGATGCGACGAGTGCCACGCGCGCGAACTTAGTATAAGATCACGAGGGCGCTGGACTTACACATACTATCTTGTTATGCAACTTTACACAAGTACTGTAATGACGGCGCATTATGTGGTGCCCATACCCAAATGGCTTATTCTAAGCCAATGGGGTCATCTCCGACGCTCGGGCGTTGGCTGAGGCGCCCGCAAAAAGGGGGGTTAACCCTTTAGCTGACGCAAAATGGACCTGAGGGCCTTTCCGCCTTCTACACCCTGAGGTGTCCCAAAGGGTGCGGGGTAAGACGACCCCTAGGGCAGGAAGGGGTTTGGCGCGGTGGTGAAATGTCTGGCACATCACTAGCGGCGCGCTAGCTCTTCCGTCCGTAACTTTATCGTTCCACCAAGATGATTCGCAACAAGGAAAAGAAACAAGAATTGGCGGGGGACATCCCCTCCCCTCTATTCACCCCAACCTTCGATGGACCCCTAGTATGCGGGCACTTCAGGTTGTGCTGGTTGCTTACATAGGTACACATCCACTAGCACACACATATGCACAAGGGGAGTAATTATGTGACGATCACTTCTCACAGTCATAGTGGGCTGTCTCTTATACACATCTAGATGTGTATAAGAGACAGGAATCGCACTATCCTATAGGGCCCCAACCATCTTTTGTCAAGTTTTCGTGACCACTGCTTTTCCAGGGATGCGTCGTATAATAGCACGCTATCTCCCACTGCCAAGGGCTCTTTCCGTACCTTGGCCATTTGGTCCCACCTCATCTTATCCTGTCTCTTATACACATCTAGATGTGTATAAGAGACAGCAATCCTGTAGGGCCCCAACCATCTTTTGTCAAGTTTTCGTGACCACTGCTTTTCCAGGGATGAGTCGTATAATAGCACGCTATCTCCCACTGCCAAGGGCTCTTTCCGTACCTTGGCCATTTGGTCCCACCTCATCTTACACATCTAGATGTGTATAAGAGACAGCTCCACCCCGTTCCTATTCCCATATCCCTTGCGTTAGCCATGCAAGCCCCATCCTCCAGCCTACCAACCTTAATTAAATACTCGGTACTTTTGTTAAATGGTCGTTCAATAAAAAGTCTGGGTGAAACCCTTAACAAACAAGAAGATCATCAGGGCTAAAGCCTTTTAGGTTGAGTATGGGGAGCGAGTAGGAATTGAGACGTGAACCGACGAATCGGCAACCGACCTGTTATCAATGATAACATCCTCAAGGGATCAGTTGAACCTAGTCCAAGTCCTGAATCAGGTCGATCAAGCTGGTCTGTAACACAAGACAGGTCAACGCCCAAGACTAAACCTGTAAGCCCTCCGCGAGCTATCTTCTATACACCGGCCCCGTCAAACTTCCTGGTAGGCAAACTAGGTCTGAGCCTAATCCTAGGTCAGGACTCAAAGAAAAGGTAGACCCTTGGCTTGGTTTCCCTTATACAGAGTGGGCTGCCAACTCTGCCACCTGTCATGATATAGTTTAACTCCTCTAAACTAAGAAA